ACCACTATAGAATGTGTCAACATCAGACAGATCAAAGGTCCCCAGCTGCAGAAAGCTGCTAGAGATGGTTACAATGACACACTTTCATGACTTAGTCACTGATGACTAGTCTTGCTATTTTCTGAAACCATGAGGTGAGATCTTCACTGGGTTAGTCCTTAGGGAACAGACATGGAGCTTGTCCTCAGTCTCTCTAGCTTGGGAGGACCTGACAGAGCCATCCCCAGAGGTTTGGCCATAGATGAAGAATACTTTGAGGGACGCCAGCTTACAAAGAACTGTCTGCAAAGGTATAGAGGGGTTGTGATCTGTGCCAGGGGAAGCAGGCTCTCACTGATGAAATCTTGGTCATCTGAAACATTGAAATGTTAAAATATGAGGTGAGAAGCCATTATATAGGGAATTCATCCCCCCCAAAAATCCCTTAAATATATTTCCCACAACTTTGGAGCTAAAACAGGGACCACTCTCTATGCTGCCTCAGGGTGCAAGGGATTTCCTTTACCCTGTAAACTATCTTCCCCCTCCTACCCATCCTGGCACATCAGCAAGCCAGGTCTTGGCACATTAATGCTCTCTACAGGTTTCAAACTTAAGTAATTATTTTGTCTTGCCCCGCTAAATCCCACCCTGCTCCCCAACCAGAGAATAAAGCACTTTCATTCACCCTATTCTTTCCCCTGCTTTCTGATAACAGTATATCAACTTTTAGATATTTAAAGGGGAAATGATTCTGAAACACTATAAGGAATCATACAAAGTAGGAAAAGGATACAGTGATAGGTAGAAACAGCTGACAATTTACGAAGGTTTATAGTTTAATCTTGGTCCTCTATTGACTAATGACATTTGCACCTCTCCCTAGAGCCCTCCTGCCTAAAATCTTCCTTAGGTCATAGGATTTTAAAAGTCCAGTGCACCTCATGAATTACTGATGAGTGAACTGAGACCCAGAGAGATGAAGTCACTTTACTAAAGTCACACAGAAAAGTAGCAGAGCCAAGATTCGAATCCAGCCCTTCGCATCCCAAATCCCAGGCTCTTTCCACTACATTGAGGAGGAAGGGAATCCAGGTTGAAGAAGGGAAGTAATGATAATACTAGAGTGATACTATAAAGCTAAGAGAGACTAAATCAGTGTGGTGCTGAGAATTTCTTGAGAAGAGCAGACCCCAAATGGCAAGACAGCTCTACTTTAAGGCTGCAGTGAGTTGCTAGTTATGTGGCCCGTCTCAATTTATCTTCCTCCCTTCCAGGGACTAAGGAATGGTCCTCTATAGTTGTAAAATAGAAACAGAAGGAAACAAAGCCCCTTTTCAGACACTGAAAGGGATAGAGTATTTGTGTTAGAGAATCCCAATGATCAAAATCTCTGCTTTGTGATGGGGGAGATGAAAACACTAAAAGAGAAAACAGATTTTTGTTCATTGTTTCATTGTTTCTGGGGAGTGATTATATTGCCACTGCTTCCCTGTAATATTTGTAGTAGTAATGACCAGATTATGAACCAAATTAGATTTATAGAACCTCCAACGTCAGAACATCTCTTGTAGGTGATGACCATCTATCCTAACCTGATATATTAATGCTCTTCACAACAAACTGGATGAAGAGTCAATCATTCAGCTTCTGCTTACACATCTCCAATGATGGGAAATTCACCACCTCATTAGGCAACCAGTTCCATTTTTGGATAGCTGTAACGATTTGGAAATTCTTCTTTAGGCTGAGACAAATTTTTATTCTTTTTACTCCCCAGTGCTCCTAATTATTCCCTCTGGAATCATACATTGTAAGTTTCCTCCCTTTTCCATGATAGCTTTTCAGGTATTTGAGAACAACAATCAGCTCTAATCCTCTCCCACTTAGGTTTGGCTAAGGTCATGTCTAAGTTTTTTCTTTGGTAGTAAGATAACCCCACGCCTTTCCTCTTACAACATGGCTTTCGCCATCCCAGTTGCCCTTCTCTGTGCATTCTCCAGTTGATCAATGTCACTGTTTAAATGGCTCTTGGGCTCTATGATAACTCAAGTCTAATTCCATAGTGATGAAATTTGGACGCCCTTCATAGTCTTCTGTAATTTTGCTGCCCCAGGCACACAGGAGTCTGCTCTTAGGCAAGTGCTTTTTTTCTTAGCTGCCTGGCTCTGTCATCATGCGTCACTTCACCCTTAGTCCACTGGCTAAGGATACTGAAAGCCTATTGTGTGTTTGCCCATCCCCACCGAAGTCCCAGTAAGAAACAAGTGCTCCTTATCTGTTCCCAAAGTTCTCTCTCTCCCAAGCTTGCCGTCTCCTTCCCCCTGCCCTGGAGTCCTGCATGGTTTGGCTCCAGCTGAAGCAGCTCACCTTTTCTTGCCCATCTCCCAGCTCTTTCCAGTCTCTGGAAGCAGATGACATCTTTCAGTTGGTTGAGCCCTCGACAAACTATTGACACGTAGGCCTTGAGGCCTGGCCAAAACAGACTCCCCTAAATCTGACCTACTACAAAGGCTTCTTCTCCCAGATGCTCTTGCTCCCTTGTCCTCAACCTATATTCCCGAAGTGGATCCACCCTTAGGTCTCCACTATTGGCTAAACTAAGGTGACAGACAAACCAAAGAGCTAGTAGAGGCTGGACACTTTCCCTGGTCCTCAGTTAGAGATCCAATCACTTTCTCTTTTTAGGGTCTAGTGTCATTATCCTCATTCAGGCTGCTCTCCACCCCCACTGTCCCATGGATCCCTGAAGCCAATGGTAAGAATTTATGGTTTATTGAAATATCAACATAGTCTTACCCCATGACCCACTAGAAATACTTCATTGCCCTGTTGTTGTTCTCTTGTGTTTATTTCTTTGTCAGATAATGATGGAGCCCTTGGGCTCAAAACCATGAGAAAAAGTAGATGGGGGCCAGATTGGGGAGAGGGGAAGCTGGGGGATTAATCAAAACACTTTAAGGAAAGAGCATAAGAATCACAGAATCTTAGAGCTGGAGGAACATTAAGAGATCATCTGGCACAATTCTCAGTGTTACAGAGAAGGAAACTGAGGCTCAGAGAAATATAGTGACTTGCCTGTTGTAACATTACTAACAGAGTTGGAGCAGAACCCCAGACCAAGGCCTTTGTTCTTTCTTTCACCTAGCAGTGCCTCTGAGAGTGGAGCCCAAAGTAAGGGCTCAAACCTTCAACCCTGAACCTGAGTCCTCTACTGACTGATCTAGTCATTTTGACGTAAGAATTGACAGAGAGAATCAGACCCACAGTTCACTCAAATCACAACTCTATTCCTGGCAAGGATACCCAGGGACATCTTGAGGAAGATCGTTATTGTCCTTGATACCAACCTCAGAGATTAGGGACACTACCCGAACATTCTAGCTTCTATCTGAAACCGTCGTATCATCTATTAGTTTAAATAAAAATCTTTTTGAAGCTACATTTTCAACCAGAACCACCTTTAGGGGTATAAGTTCCAGAAACTTACTGCCTAAATTCTTATCTCATAGTGTTGTTGTATGGAAAATGCTCAGTAAAACTTAAAGCAACATAGAAATGTGAGTTATTATTTTTTAAAAGAATTGTAATTTAATTGCTAAGGAACTTCTAATGAAGAAACTCTCTCTCTCCATAGAGAGTGGTCCCTGCTCAGCAGTTTATGGTCAGTCATAAGGAGGTGCCCAGGGAACTGAAAAGTTAGATGACTCACCTAGTATCACGCAGCCAGTATGTCTGAAGTGGGACTTGAACCCAGAGCTTCCTGACGTGAAGGCCTGCTCTTCATCCATATGCCACGTGGCTTCTTCCAGACTAATACTTCTACTATGTAAAAATAGCCTCTTTTTGTCTTTAAGTTTCCACTTCAGAATATTTGAAATATTTTTTAAAGAGCTTGCTTTTGTGTTGTGGTTGACAGTGTATATTACATTTAATAAGTGGCTTTTAAAATGTTTCCTGCTGATTCTGAATGTGGATGTCACTTTGACAAAATGCCCGTGGTGCTTGCATTGTTTAAGAAGAAAATGGGCTTATGGTTTTTTGCTTCACCTTTCATTTTATACTTGACTTCCCTCTCAAAAAAATGTTTAATGATTACTTATTTAACTGGTACAGATGGCTTGGCTGCTTATCTTCTCACCTTACCACTTAACATGCCACCTTATTGGTTCATCCCTGGCCAACTGGTCAGGAACCCCACTGACTAGTCAGATGTTGCTCTGGTTGTCAGAATTTCCAAGCAGAGGAATTTCTGGAATAATTTTCTACTCCAAGCTATTGGTTGTTTTGCTCATTGAGTGGTCTTGCCTGCCTCAAATGTAACTTGAACTATAACTTTTGAGCATAAGGATA